CTCCTCCTGGGTTCAAGTGATTTTCCTGCCTCAGCCTCCCAACTAGCTGAGACTGCAAGTATATGCCACCATGCCTAGCTAATTTTTGTAATTTTATTAGAGATGGAGTTACACCATGTTGGCCAGGCTGGTCTCAAACTCCTGACCTCAGGTGATCAGCCCGCCTTGGCCTCCCAAAGTGCTAGGATTCCAGGCGTTAGCCACTGCACCTGGCCCCAACTTTCTTAAAGAGAACTCTCAAACCTTTTGTGCTAATATCAACATTCAATGCTACGCATGTGCCTATAGTTCCAGCTACTTATGAAACTGAAATGAGAGGATGGCTTGAGCCCAGGAGTTGAAGGTGGGCCTGAGCAACATAGTGAGATCTTGCCTGTACAAAAGTATTTTAAAAATTAGCTGGGGCTGGTGGCACATATCTGTAGTCCCAACTACTTGGGAGGCTGAGGTGGGAGGACCACCCAGTCCCAGGCTGTAGTGCCCTGTATGAATCGGGTGTTTGTACCAAGTTCAGCACGAATATGATGACCTTCCAGGAGTTGGGGGCCACCAGGCGGCCTTAAGGAGAGGGAAATCAGCCCAGGTCAAACCTGGAGCAGGTCAAAACTGTTACACTGATCTGTAGTGAGATAGTCCCTGTTAATAGCCACTGCACTGCAGTCTGGGCAGCATAGCGAGACCCCATCTCTATAAAACAATAATGAAATGAAGGCAAATCTCATGGTCAGTGGAGTTTTCCAAGAGTCCCATGCAATTAGAAGAATTAGAACTTGGCTGGGTGCAGTGGCTCACTGCGTTTTGGAAGACTGAGGTTGGGTGGATCACCTGAGGTCAGGAGTTCGAGACCAGGCTGACCAACTTGGTGAGACCCTGACTCTACTAAAAATACAAAAGATTAGCTGGGTGTGGTGGTGCATGCCTGTAATCCCAGCTATTTGGGAGGCTGAGGCAGGATAATCACTTGAACCTGGGAGACGGAGGTTGCAGTGAGCCGAGATTGCACCACTGCCCTCCAGCCTGAGGGACAGAGTGAGACTCCATCTCAAAAAAAAAAAAAAAATAGAATTAGAACTTGGCTGGAACTCACTTCCTCAATCCATTATGAAAATTTCCAAATTTTCCTTCCTAACATTATATTCAGTTTGCAAATAGTCTTCTATTTAATGCCTGTATTTCAGGAAGCTCCCAGGCTTTGGAAAGCCCTCCCTTAATCATGAAATGATAGTTAGTCCGTGAATTCCTCACTAAGTCACCCTGAAGCCCTCGTGGTTTACTGAGTGCAAGTTTCCCGTGTTGTGGGCAGGTTTCTCCTGTGTGCTCTGTGGGTCATTGTCAAGCAGGAACAGGCAGACGGACAGTGTAACAGTTGGAATGAGCTGTTCAGATATGCACCAGAAATGTTACACACGCCCATCATTAGCACAGTCACCCTGCAGTTTCATAGACGTTATTGCTAAGGATGAGGCAATCGATGAAGGATGGATTTGGTTCAGAGGAAATACACTCAGTAAAGGCAGTCTTGGGTGGGATGTGGCTCGGGCAGGACTTGTGGTTGGTGGTGGTGTCTGAGTCTCTGAAGTGTGGGGAACCCTCTGGTGTCCAACTCAGCCTTCAGTCCTGGCGTGACCGTGTCTGTCCTTGCAGATCAAAGGCTTGGAGTGGCTGGTGTCCCTGTACAACAACAACCTGAACGGCATCCTGGCCGACGAGATGGGCCTGGGGAAGACCATCCAGACCATTGCGCTCATCACGTACCTCATGGAGCACAAACGCATCAATGGGCCCTTCCTCATCATCGTGCCTCTCTCGTGAGTACCCGGTACCAGCAGCACCCCATCGAGCACTCATATGCTCCTGTGTTCGTTAGTTTGCCACAGTAGAATACCACAAATGAGGTGGCTTAATGACAGAAATTTATTTTCCTGGAGGCCAGAAGTCCAGAGTCAAAGTGTCAACAGCATTGCTCCCACCTGAGGCCTCTCTCCCTGGCTTGCAGAGGCTGCCTTCCCTGTGTCTTCACATGGTCCTCCCTCTGTGCGTGTCTGTGTCCTCATCTCTTCTTATAAGGACATTGGTGAGATTGGATGAGGTTGCACCCTAATGGCCTGTTTTACCTTTGCTGCTTCTGTAATGGCCCAGTCTCCAAGCACAGTGTCATCCTGAGCTACTAGGGTGAGGACTGCTACACCAGCCTCCGGGGTGCACACAGCTCCACCTGTCACAGCCTGCCTCTGGATCCAGGAGCAAGTGGGGGCATGACTGAGAGTCTCTTCCACACCTGGGGAGATGTGGGGTCCCTCTCCTGGGATGTCCTTGGTATCCTTTTCAAGTCCCACAACCAGCAAAGTCCACATAGGGGAGTCACAGGAGACAAGAACGTCATACTAGAAAAGTAGAGTGATGCCATTTAGACTCCACTGAACAAGCAGTTTCTATGTGCAGGGCATCAGAGTGCTCAGGCACATCCCAGCTTGGCCCAGGTCCTGGGACATGCTGGGATCTGGACACCCTAAGAGTCTGTCACTTGTCACTGCCTGGCTCCTCTGGCCTTTCTCTCCCAGCAAACTGAAAGCCCACCCTGCCCACCTCTCTGGACATCCCTCTACGCAGCTCAGCACCTGCACCGAAAGGGGGACCTGCCTTAGGGTTTTCCCAGAAAGTCCAGGGCTGGCTTTTATTGGTCCAATTCAGGTCACATGTCCAGCACGCCAGCAATCACTGGCCTGGGGATTAGTCTGTGATTGGCCAAACCTCAGCACGGCACTTGGTCTGGCCTTAGAGCACAGCCCCTAACTCCAATCAGGCACTCACTGGGACCAGTGCTGCTGTACGTCAGCAGCGCACCCCCATCCGCAGCAGGCTGGAAAGCTGTGTGCCCATGCCCCAAGCCCATGGGAAAATGGCCTTGTGCCTGTAAAACCGCTGGATCCCAGGGGTCCCACCCCCGTAGGGTGGGCCTGACTCCTGACCACTGCAGGGAAGACTAGAGGAAAGGCGAGGGACCCCAGAACCCTCCGGGGTTTACCGTGGAGGCGTTTCTTTCTTTTGTTCCCTGGCTTCCCACATGGCACGAAACAGACTGCCCTGGAGGAGCAGGGCGTCCTGGCCATAGGGCCACAGGTGGCCTTACCTCCCCTCTTCCTTAGACCCAAACTGCTGTAGAGTTCCCTCTGGCTGCACCTGCCTGAGCTCTGTCCCTTGTCTATGTCTGAATGCTGTTCCTTACAGCTCCACCCACCTCACTCCCAGCTCTGCCTTTGCCCCTCTTCCCCCAGAGGCTAATGGGTGCCGTCCTTTTCAGTTCCCAGTTTTCTCTGTTTCGCTTCAGACGTCTCAGATCACTGTCTCTGCTGGAATGGCACTCTCCAGGGTGCTGTTCTGCAGCCTTGGGTTTTAGTTGTTAATTTTTTTGCTTTAAATTTTTGATTCTTTGTTATCTACTTACAGAATAAATTTTTTTAAAACTTTTCATTTCGAAATGATCTCATTCTTTTTTTTTTTTTTTTTTTTTTTTTTTTTTTTTTTTTTTTTTTTTTTTTTTTTTTTTTTTTTTTTTTTGAGATGGAGTCTCGCACTGTCACCCAGGCTGGAGGGCAATGGCGCGATCTCGTCTCACTGCAACCTCCGCCTCCCAGGTTCAAGCGATTCTCCTCAGCCTCCTGAGTAGCTGGGATACAGGCACCCTGCCCAACAAAGTTTTGTATTTTTATTTTATTTTATTTTATTTATTTGTTTTTGAGTTTTGTATTTTTAGTAGAGATGGGGTTTCACCATTGTCGGTTAGGCGGCTGGTCTCGAACTCCTCACCTCAGCCTCCCAAAGTGCTGGGATTACAGGAGTGAGCCACCATGCCCAGCTGAAATGATCTCATTCTTATAAAACATTGTAGAGTTGACGTAAAAAATTGCTATGCACCATTCACCCATCTTCCCAATTCTTTCATAACCCCAGGACAATTATGAAAACCAGGAAAATAACATGGACGTAATACTATTAGCAAACCAGAGGCCTTATTTACCCATCTTGTCGGTTTTCGCATGACTGGCCTTGTTCTGGTCCAGGACTCCACACGGTCACGTCTGTGGCAGTTCCTCATTTCTTCTTCGTCCTTTTCAAGCTTGACACTACTGTCGGACCTTTGGTAGACTTTCCTTCAGTTTGGGTTTGTCTGACACGATCCCAGGGAGTGACGCCATGCCATGCTTGATGTGCCTTAGGGGAAGGCATATGATGTTGAGGCCTGGGTCTCTCATGCCAGGTACCTGCTGGGTTTCCTACCGTAAACTGAGGATTTACACTTTGTCATTGATAACTGTCTCTTGGGAATGCACGTCAGCACTATGTGAATATCCCATTTCTGTTCCTATTTTCCCCGATAATTTCAGCATCTGTCCTACTACATTTTGTGTTGCTATACAGGAATACCTGAGGCTAGATGATAAAAGAGCTTTAGCCAGGTGCAGTGGCTCACGCCTATAATTCCAGCACTTTGGGAGGCTGAGGCAGGTAGATCACTTGAGGTCAGGAGTTCAAGACCAGCCTGATCAACATGGTGAAACCCTGTCTCTACTAAAAATACAAAAAAAATTAGCTGGGTGTGGTGGTGCATGCCTGTAATCGCAGCTACTCAGGAGGCTGAGACAGGAGAGTCACTTGAACCAAGGGCGCAGAGGTTGCAGTCGGCTAAGATCATGCCATTGCACTCCAGCTTGGGCAACAAGAGTGAAACTCTTTGTCAAAAAAAAAAAAAAAAAAAAAAAAATTAAAAATTTTTAAAAAAAAAAAAAAAAAAAAAAAAATGTTTATTTGGCTCATGATTCTACTGGCTGGAAGATTGAGCATCTGGTGAGGGCTTCAGGCAGATTCCACTCCTGGTAGAAGGCAAAGGGGAACCAGTGGGGAGAGATTCCGTGGGGAGAGAGGCGAGGAAGATGGGAGTGCCAGTCTCTTTTTAACAGTAGCTCTCACAGGAGCTCATACGGCGGGATCTCACTCATCCCGCAGGCCCCGGTACAGTACAGGCCGTTCACGAGGGTTCTGTCCCCATGACCTAGTTGCCTCCTACAATTCCCTACCTCCAAATCAGATTTCAGCCTGGGGTTTGGAGGTGCCAAATACCCAAACTATAGCAGCAGACATCAGGTAAGTTTTGCCTGATAAAGTAATCGGAGTCACCAAATACATGGTTACCTGTTTCTATCCGCCCTTATTATAGGAGTGTGGACTCACAGACATAAACACGTATTCCATTGCTTCAGTCGTTTCAGATCTGGCCTGGGAGAATTCTCCCTAGAAGAATAGTGTTTTCTCTATGAATTTATTCAGTCATTTCTTAATATGAGTATGGACCCATTGATATTTATTTTATACTCCAGGCTATGCACCAGTGCTGGGTTTTTCATTTTGTGGCTCAAATCCATCCAGCTTCGGTCTCTGGGAGCTCTTTCAGTTTGCTCCTCTGTCCTGTGACATGCCCCCAGCCTCTTGGTGAATTTCAAGGACTTTCTTGCTTTTTGGCACCAAGAGATGCTGCATGCTCATGTAGTCCATTTCCCGCCCTCTCCCTGGAGTCAGCCATTTCTCCAAGGAGCCCTGGTTTCCCCTCTTATTGGGAACCAAGACCTGGGTCCTGGATGGGCCTGTTGCTTCAGGGGTGTCATTGCTCCCGGGCTCTCTCAGTGGTCAGCTCTAGGAGATTCGTGTCTGCTGCCTGCATGCTGATGCTATGTGCACACCCGTCTAAAAGGCGTTATCTGCCTCGGCATCTGTTTCTGTGTTAAGCTGATCGTGAGTTCATGCTACTGTCTGTGGCTCTGAGAGAGGACCACTGGTTCCCTCTCACACTTCCACCCTGTGTCTGCCCATTCTCAGCATTGTGGACAGCACTTTCGGAGTGGTGAGCCCATACCCCCAAGAAGCATCTTGACCCACTAGGGTGCAGGCCTTAGGGCCAGTTCCTTGTGTCTTCAGGCCTCCAGATTGCAGTCAGACTCCATTTCCAGGGGGATGGAGGTCAGCTCCTTCCCCTACTTCAGTGAGGTTGTGTCATGGGCGCGCATGCAGTCTTTTCACATTGCACCCGACGTGGGCAGGTGTCCATGGTGTGGAGTGTCAGCTCCTGCAGCCAGAAGAGGGCCCTCGCCCTAGGGTATGTTTACAGTGTACAGGCATCTGGTCATGTCATACCTCTTACTGGGACTTGCCGCTTCCTGCCATGAGCTGCTTGTCCCGCCTCTATTTGGACCTCTGTCTCCAGGACCTGTCCCCTCAGTTCCCTCCTGACCCTTGCTCCTGGCCCTTCTCCCTCCGCTACAGATACTCCCCATACCTCCGGCTTCTCCCTCGGTGCCCTGACTGTCCCCTGTCACTCCAGGGAGGTTTCGCTGTTCCTAAGTCAATGGAAGTGCAGGGTCAGGCCCAGTAGCTCCAAGATGCCATTAGGGACACAGCCTCCCCCAGGTTTCTTTCCAGTCATTCTTGGGTGACTCCAGCCCTCAGGCTCTTTATCTCATAGTTGCAAGAAGACCGCACTGCCTCCCTTGCCTCATCCAGGTTCCAGCAGAGTGGGCAGGGCAAAGGGCAGCGGAAGCGCATGGCTGCCGAGTCCCCTGCTCCCCACGCTCTTTGAAGAGCTGTCCCCAGCCTTCACCACGGCCGCGGTGGTGTTGGCCTTGCCCCTGGCAGTCAGTGGCTGTGGATTTGCACAATGAGCCATTGATGAGAGACTAGCACTTGACTCTCATTTCCTTGTCCCATCAGAACGCTGTCCAACTGGGCGTATGAGTTCGACAAGTGGGCCCCCTCCGTGGTGAAGGTGTCCTACAAGGTAGGTCACAGCCGCAGAGGTTTCCACACTCTTGCTGCGGCACATGGCGTAGGGCGGGCAGGAGCACGGAGGTGCAGGTGGTGGCTGGTGGGAAGTCCACATGTACCTCTCGCTGGTGAACCTGGGGAGAATGCTGGGTCCACAGCCTGGAACTCCAGTCACATAGGTCCGGGATTTGGGACTGGGCAGGGACAGGGCGCTCATTGGGGAGGAGGCAGGAGTGAGCGTGGTGGCCAGCACTCAGAGGCCAGCTTGGGGGACTGAGATGGGGACTTGGCAAGAGAGGAGCTTGTCAGCCACCAAGAGTGCACAGATGGCGGTGCATGCCCCGTTGTTCCCCCAGGCCCCGGCCACCGCTGGCCTGCGCTGCTCCCTCTTCTTCCTGTGGTGCATGTTCCAGCACCTTTCCCCACTACCTCTGGCGAGATGAGCCTTCCCACCATGTTGCTGGACAGCTGCAGGGGGTGCCTTGCCCCTCGTTTCACCTGGCCACCCGGCCCCAAAAGCTGAGCTGTGTATCTTGCTTCCCTTGCAGGGATCCCCGGCCGCAAGACGGGCCTTTGTCCCCCAGCTCCGGAGCGGGAAGTTCAACGTCTTGCTGACGACGTATGAGTACATCATCAAAGACAAGCACATCCTCGCCAAGGTAGCGTGTCCTCATGGGAAACCCCAAGCCATATATCACGTGCTTCAGAGGCTGCTGCCTGACCACGATGCTTACACGTGTGTCACGCTGCTCGTCTTCTCCAAAGCCCCTACAATAACTTCCCGGAGTGCCACCTGCATGCACGTGAAGACAACTGTCCCATGTAGGGGAAGGGCCCAGGTGGGGGTGACCTAGGGTTTACATCCCTAACTATCTCCAGGCTGGCCCTGTGTCAGGCCCAGAAGCTGGGACCGTCTACACAGAAGCCAGGGCGTACAAGCTGAGGTGCTCTGCCTTCTTTCAGGGTTTCTGCCCAGAGAGCCTCAGCACCACATTGCCTCCTGATCCACCTGCAGGGTCCCTGTGGGGTCTTGGCCAGGCGGGCCTTGTGTCCTGCTGTTTCTCATCACCTTGGCCATCCCTCCCTGCGGCCCTGGCTTCTCACCACAGGCTGTGGGCTGAGATTCAGCATGTGGAGGAGAGCTTGAGGGCCCAGCATCATGACTGCCTGTTGGCCTTGGACAGCTGGGTCAGGCTGCTCTGGGAGTGTCCTACTGGCCTGGGAGCCTCTTCTGGGATGAAACTGAAGGGAATCCTAGCGTGGCCAGTGATGACTGAGAATATGCCCTGGATAGAAAACATAGTCCTCTGCCTTCAAAACTCATGCTCCTCATTTGAGTAGGGGTTGCCCGTAAAGATGCACCTGGTCTCATCCCTAAACGTCCAGCTAAGTGAGTGTTGAACAGTAGAGAATTTTTTGGGTTTTGAGTTTTTTTTTTTGAGACCGAATCTCACTCCGTTGCCTATGCTGGAGTGCAGTGGTGTGATCACAGCTCACTGCAGGCTTGATTTCCTGGCCTCAAGTGATCCTGCCACCTCACCCTCCTGAATAGCTGGGACTATATCCGGGTGCATGCCACCATGCCCAACAAATTTTTAAAAATTTTTTTGTGGAGATGAGGGTCTTGCTATGCTGCCCAGGCTGGTCTCAAGCAGTCCTCTCACCTTGGCCTCATAAAGCACCAGACAACTCTGCCCGGCCTAATAGTAGAGTTCTTGACCCAGGGATGGAGAGATGGAGGAGCTGTTTACAGGTCACCCTGCCTCTCAGTGCTTGGCTACAGTGACAATGCTGGGGCTTTCTCTTTTTTTTTTGAGACAGAGTCTCATGGCTGTCACCCAAGCTGGAGTGCAGTGGAGCGATCTCAGCTCACTGCAGCAACCTCACCCTCCCAGGTTCAAGCGATTCTCTTGCCTCAGCCTTCCAAGGACTGGGTGCTTTATCCCTGAGCCAACAAGAGAGGAAACTGAGGCCCAGGGTGCTGGGTATCCCGTGTGCAGGCCCTTCCCTCAGGCCTGTGCTACAGGTACTCCTCTGAAGCTCACCCCTGCTGACTATACAAAGCCAGGCCCTTCACAGCCCCAAGAACCAGGCTCTGGAATCCCCATGCCTCCTGCCCATGGCTCAGTTAATATCATCGCCCTGCAGTGGGAGTGCTCCTTGAGTGCGGCCACTGCACCCCCTCCTGACCCACATGGCCCTGTATGTCATGGCGGGGCCCCTACCCCATGGATTGCACATTCTGAATCACAGCCTTCTCATTGGAAATGTACCTGTCACCAACCCAGTCTCCCTGAGACCCTCCACACCAGCAGGACAAACCCCAGTCAGCAAGATGTATCTTATGCCGGAATGTACTGCACGTTTTTCTGTGCTGTAGATTAATATACATGATTTTGGAGGGAAGCGGAGGACTTTTTGCACCTCACTTTGTTCCCCTGACATAGTCAGGGGTCATGGCCCTGTCTCTACCCAGGCTTGCTAGAGGCTGCGTTGTGTGGCTCGAACTCGGCGAGTCGGCCCCGGGGGGCGCTAGGCCTGTGCTCTCCACCCGGCTGTGCTCTTCCACCTGGAGCCTTCTTGGCTCCTGGGCACAGGGTAGGTGAGTCTCCCCCTGTGCCGGACTAGCTGTTGCCCTGTCCCCTGATTGCCCGCTCTGGGGCCCGCAGATCCGTTGGAAGTACATGATCGTGGACGAAGGTCACCGCATGAAGAACCATCACTGCAAGCTGACACAGGTGCTCAACACGCACTACGTGGCGCCCCGCCGCCTGCTGCTGACGGGCACGCCGCTGCAGAACAAGCTCCCCGAGCTCTGGGCGCTGCTCAACTTCCTGCTGCCCACCATCTTCAAGAGCTGCAGCACCTTCGAGCAGTGGTTCAATGCACCGTTTGCCATGACCGGGGAAAAGGTGGGTGTGCCCAGCTGTGCTCCCGCTTACGGTTCTGGGTGCAGCCGACTCTGATGGTCAGAGTGCATCAGAGCACATTGAGGACCTGCTACAGCTGGCTGGGCCTGTGCTGGGTACCTGGCAAGAGTCCGCATCTGCATGGAGCAGGGGAGCCCCGGCACCCAAGGCCGGGCAGCCACAAGGGCCCCAGGGCAGCAGGGCAGAGGTCATGACAATGAACCTGGGGATGCTTGGGGCGTCTCTGACCCTGTGCTCCAGGTGCAGAGAGGGGACAGTGAGGAATAAGACCCTGCGGCAGCTGTGGGTCCAGCAAGGGTGTGAAGAGCACAGCTGGAGGCACAGCATCCTGTAGGCCCCTTTAGGTGCCCTCAGAACTCACCCTCTGGGCAGTGGGAAGGTTGGAAGATGGCAGTTAACGGGGCCACATGGTGAGGATCTGTCTTAGGTTGTTTTCATAGAGTGCTGTGGCTGGTCTGTTTCAGTGTCTGGGTGGCACCATCAGCCAGACTGAGACCCGGCAGCTTCATCATTGATGAGCTGTCCCACACCAGCACTGATCCCTGAGCCTAGAGCCCCGCTTTCTGTTGGAGATTGAAATGCGGGGGATGGGCTGTGTTTCCTGCTGAGGGCTTTAAGTAGCCAGACGCTGAAGTGTGGGCAGAACTACAGAGATGACCTCCAAATGTCCTGCCTGGGATGGCTGGGCCCACCCCTTTCTTCCCACTTAAGACAGGTCCAGGGCAGCTAGGGCCTCATTGGCCTCATCCATGAGTTCTCTGCTCTCTTGGCTGCTGGTCAAAGCAGAGACCTTTGTGATGGAGAAACCAAGGCTTTCCCCAAATCCTCATGATAAAGGAGTCCCCAATTTTTAGATTCCTGGAACCCCACACTAAAGGCCAGGATCTGATGCTGCAGTTTTGTCACTTTCTGAGCTGAGCAAAAGCTCTGCCAAGAGATTACCTGGGAAGCCATATCAGAAGGAAAATTCAGGCATTGCCTCACTTTCCTTTAACTCTTTTAACTAAAAACCACTTAAAAGTTAAATTCTTCGTAGAGGAGTAGGCGTCATGGGAAGTCAGGGTTTCTTTCACCTGGTTCCACCCAGGCTGAATGAGAGTCCCTGCAGGATCCCAATGGCAGAGCCCTCCCTGTGAATCACCTTCTGTAAGCCCCACGTGGTCAGCCTGGCCCCTGCTGTGCTCCTAGCGTTAGCTGGGCATGGGGTGGGTTTTGCGGACACTCCAGTGTGTGTTACTCATGGAGAGGCAGCACTCCTGCTGCCGGGGGTCTTTCTGGTGAGGCATACGGAGCAGGGTGCCCTGGGTACTGTGGTTCCATGTCCCGGGAATTCTGTGGAGGGAATCAGATCCTCACAGTTTCCTAAAGAAGAGGATGCCCTGCTGTTCCCCTAGAAAGCGTAAGGCAGTCTGAAGAGCCACGTGCTGAGGGCAGGGCCACCCACGGGACCCTGTCTACTCTGTCCCCGCATCCACACCTTCTAGTGAGACCTCTGTCGCCCTCCTTTGGAGGTAACGTGTGTTTCTCCTCTCTTGGGGGGCTCCAGGTGGACCTGAATGAGGAGGAAACCATTCTCATCATCCGGCGTCTCCACAAAGTGCTGCGGCCCTTCCTGCTCCGACGGCTCAAGAAGGAAGTCGAAGCCCAGTTGCCCGAAAAGGTAACAGAGTTATGAGGGGAGCCACCAGGGAAGCAGCCTCACATGGGGGCTTTCCCCAGGACTGGGTGTGCTCAGGCCCTCTTCCCACAGTTCTGGGCCTGCCCTGGTCAATCCAGCTTGGGGGTGGCGATGGCGCCACTGGGTCTGTAAAGCCCTATGCTGCTCTTCTGCCGTAGGGGTGAAAAAGCGCTCATAGGCTCACATAGCTCATGATAGGTGAGAGCACACAGTCCCACTTCCTGTCGGGGGCCAGGTGCCTGCATGTGCTTTCCTGGCCACATCAGGAGGGGCCGTGGGCTTGGGGTGGCCCCCAGCTCCCTGTCATGGCTCTGGGTTCTCAAGGCCTGCTGCAGCCACAACCTGGGGCTCAGTCCTCACAACAAGACCCATGGACTCAGGGTCCCCGGCCGCAGTTGCCCCTCTTGCCCTTTCTTTCCTGGACAGCTGTGGAGAGGCCCCGGAAAATGGCCAAGGGGCCCTTTCTGGCCCAGGATCCCCCTGGTGTCTCTGCCTTGTGCTTCCTCTTGTTGCCCAGGTCTTACCTCTTCTCCCCACCTTGGGGGCCTCTCACTCTCACCCCTATATGCCCTGGTCAGAGCTCATATAACAAGGCCAAGGGATCAGGGCTGGGTCTGGGTGGGGTCAGGCCTGGATCTGGGTAGGGGTCAGGCCTCAGGCCAGCTTGGGTCCTCGTGAGCATCGCATGTCCCCTGCAGGTGGAGTATGTCATCAAGTGCGACATGTCTGCGCTGCAGCGAGTGCTCTACCGCCACATGCAGGCCAAGGGCGTGCTGCTGACCGACGGCTCTGAGAAGGACAAGAAGGTGGGCCCTGGGGTCCCCCAACTGCATTCCCCCCTGGGTGTCCAGGTGGGCAGCTTGGCAGGCAGGGCAGAGCGCACTCTGACCAGCGGAGCCATTCGCCTCCTCGTTCTCGTTGAGGCCTGACCTGGTCGTGATCCCCAGGGTGTCTGGTCAGCCCTGATTATGATGGCTGGTGGTCTGGGTTCGGACACACTGACTCAGCTGCCAGTGGCTTTCCCTTTGCTTATGAAACTGGCTCCTTCTGCAGTTGGCAACCTGGGCCCCACACTAACCCCAGCAGAGTTAGAGCATTATAGAATGCCCCACTTCCCAGCTAGGAAGAGCAGCCTTTGCAGCCGAGGCTCTGAACCCCTTCTCTCTGTTATTAAGTGAAGGGCAGGAGCGAGCTATCGCCTTCAGGGGCTGTCTGAGAATCCCAGGCCCCACCTGCCAGGCTCTCCTCACCACAAGTGAAATTGTCCTCCAAGGGAATGCACCAGACCCTTTGATTCTCTCCCCAAGGCCTTGACTTCGACCTGGCATTGACTTTGGCTAAGACGTGTCTGTGCCCCTCCTACCCTGAGATGAGCAGTAGTGTGTTCCCTATTCCGTTCCCAGCCCAAATCATGCACGCCCCTACCCCCGCCTCCTTCCTCACCCTGGAGCCCAGGGAGCCTCCCGAGTCATGGCTCACCTAGCTGAGACCCTCTAGGGACCCCCACAATGCCCAGGAAAAAGCTGGCATCACACAGCATCGGGTACTCTACCTCAGCATTTTGCCAGTCTTGTTTCTGTCCTGTCTGTCTGCCCTCTGTTGTGCCAGGCAGTCCTGTGTTTCCCTGGGCTTGTTAGGGGCCTCCAGGCCTCCAGCCAGCCATTTCCTCACTCTTAATTGCTGTACCAAAAGCCACTGATCCTCACGGCCCTTCTCCCAGCACCTACCCATGCACCAAACCCATCCCACCCTGCCCCGCCCCAGGAGGGCAAGACCCCATTTGGGACCCTCTTGTCTGCCTCCCAGGGCAAAGGTGGCACCAAGACCCTGATGAATACCATCATGCAGCTGCGGAAGATCTGCAACCACCCCTACATGTTCCAGCACATCGAGGTGAGCCCACTGTGGCCGGGACCTCAGGGCCTGCTTCTGCGGGGCTCCTGCACAGAGCTGGCTTACTCCTCCTGGAGAGCTCTTTACAGTAGACTTGAACCTTTTCATTAGGTGATGCCTGTACATATGTTTGTTGTTTGGTCTTCACTTCGCCAGTACTTACGGAAAGAATCCCAGCAGTTAGGGTACAAGGTGCAATAGGAATGCAAGGCCCTGGAAGAGCCTTGCATTAGAGAACAGGAGCATTTGCAAACTTCTCCGGGGACGTGTCCCCGCCACCCCAGTGGGGTCCTGCTGCATCTTTTTGGCACACTGGCTTTTCTCACATTGCGGGGCATTAAGAGTCACCATCCTCTTCAGTGAACTCTTTTGGGTCATGGTGCCTTTGAGAATCTGGGTTCTTAGAAGCATGTATGTGTTCGTGTTTCTTGGTGTAAAGTGTTGGGGTTGTTGGAGACCCTCTGATGCCCACCAGGAGAGCCCTCGGGGTGGTTTGAGCACCCTGAGCGTGGCTGTGGCCCCATGCCGTCCTCGTGCGTTCACAGTGTAAGGAGTGTTGTACTGCGATGTCCTTTCCTTCGCTGGAGGGGCATGAGGGAAAGGTTGTCAGTGGACTGAGAAAGATGGTTTTGGCATCCAAGTCTGGCCTCAGAGCCCCAGCGGGTGAATGCTGAGCACACGGTGTGGGGGCTCTGTCTTCTGAGCACCAGAGGTGTGTGTGGACCGCAGTGGGGCCCGGTGACTCGTTCCTGCCTGGCACTGACCCCTCTCTCCTTCCCTTGCAGGAATCCTTTTCTGAACACTTGGGGTTCACTGGTGGCATCGTCCAAGGGTGAGAAGCTTCCCAACTGGGTGGGGTGGGCAGGTGGTCCACACAGAGGTTTTCTGTTGTTTTGTTGGCTTTATTGTTGCTGTTATGTTTGTCCAACTTCAAAAGCAGAAAATTTAAAAAATATGGAAGAATCGAAAACAAAGAATACAAACCTCTTTTTTTTCTTTTTTTTTTTTTGAGATGGAGTTTCATTCTTGTTGCTCAGGCTGGAGTGCAATGTTGTGATCTTGGCTCACCACAACTTCCACCTCCGGGGTTCAAGCAGTTCTCCTGCCTCAGCCTCCCGAGCAGTTGGGATTACAGGCTCCCGCCATCATACCCAGCTAATTTTTTTGTATTTTTAGTAGAGACGGGGTTTCACCGTGTTGGCCAGGCTTGTCTCGAACTCCTGACCTCAAGTGATCCACTAGCCTCGGCCCCCAAAGTGCTGGGATTACAGGTGTGAGCTACCGCGCCCAGCTAGAACACAAATCTGTAGTGCTCGGAGAGCTGACCACTATTACCCCAAGAGACAGGATTTCTGAGGCAGACCTGGCTTATAGCTCCCACCTCCAAGTTCTCACTCTAGACAGCTTTCCTAACCTCTGTGAGCCCAAACCCTGTTCACTGGTATAGAGGCACTCTTTACACTGTGTGGGTGTTTTATATAGCACGCTTTGTAAGGTGCAGCCCAGACTCCTTTAAGCCCCTGATGGATGTGGATGCTGTTTCTGGAGTTTCACCATTACAAAGAACCTTGCTAAAAACTTTATTACGCCGGGCGCAGTGGCTCAAGCCTGTAATCCCAGCACTTTGGGAGGCCGAGGCAGGTGGATCATGAGTTCAAGAGATCGAGACCATCGTGGTCAACATGGTGAAACCCTGTCTCTACTAAAAATACAAAACATTAGCTGGGCATGGTGGTGCGTGCCTGTAATCCCAGCTACTCAGGAGGTTGAGGCAGGAGAATTGCCTGAACCCAGGAGGCGGAGGTTGCGGTGAGCCAAGATCAAGCCATTGCACTCCAGCCTGGGTAACAAGAGTGAAACTCCGTCTCAAAAAAAAAAAAAAAAAAAGAAAAAAAACTTACGCTGAAGCCTCCATTAAATTCTCCTGGGGTATTAAGCCATTTGCAAGAAGAGAGGCACCTAATGAAAACATAACACATTTTTTTTGTTTGAGACGAAGTCTTGCTCTGTTGCCAGGCTGGACAAACTGAGGTTGCAGTGGCGCGATCTCGGCTGACTGCAACCTCCAGTACCGTGGTTCAAGTGATTCTCCTGCCTCAGCCTCCTGAGTAGCTGGGACTATAAACAGGCACCACTACACCCAGCTGATTTTTGTATATTTAGTAGAGACGAGGTTTCACCATGTTGGCCAGGATGGTGTCGATCTCCTGACCCTGTGATCTGCCTGCCTGCGTCAGCCTCCTAATGTGCTGGGATTACAGACATGAGTCACCATCGCCTAGCCAACAAATTCTTTTTGATGTGCTTTTTGATACTGAGTTGTGTAGCGGGGTCCTGTACACCTGGGTTGGAGGCTGGAGGCCTGGCTTGGGCATGTGATCAGCCATTTCATGTTGTTCCTCTGCCAGCCTCAGTTTCTACGTCTATAAACCAGGGGCTGTTGGCTGGAGGGAGTGTGAGGAGCCGAAGTGGCCCTTCCTCCCAGGGCTGGCAGGGCATGGGTGCCTCCAGTGTGGCATTTGCTCCTGGGGCTTTTTTATTGGGTGCAAGGATAAGATCTGGCTTCCCGGAGCAGCCCTGTTCCCACCCCCATGTTGCTGTGAGTGATAGCGCCTCCTTTCATCCTCATGAGTGTCTGGGTTAGATGAGAAATATATGTGCCACCCTGGTGATGTGCCTTCCAGTGAGGGTGGCTGGGCTTATTTCAGTTAGGGGAAACGGCTTTGCCGAAGCTTTGGGTGGCATCTGCTTAGGAAGACTCCTCTGTGTCCTTGAACCTGGCGCCTGGCCTGGAGGAGGGTGATGCACTTCCTGCCTTGCCCGCCTGCAGGGTGCCGGGTTTAACATCCTGCGCCTTCTCTCCCGCCTCCCTCCACACTCCAGGCTGGACCTGTACCGAGCCTCGGGTAAATTTGAGCTTCTCGATAGAATTCTTCCCAAACTCCGAGCAACCAACCACAAAGTGCTGCTGTTCTGCCAGATGACCTCCCTCATGACCATCATGGAAGATTACTTTGCGTATCGCGGCTTTAAATACCTCAGACTTGATGGTGAGTATGAGCGAGTGAGACGTTAGTTGTAGGGTTTTGTCATTGCGGCTGCCATGGAAGCTTCTCGCTGGCATGCCCTCCTGTGAGGCAGGGTGAGGCCCAGGCACTCTGGGTCTTGTGGCCAGAGTGGGCTCAGCCTTTGGCTGAGCATCTCGGGCACTCGGCACTGGAAGGGGCCCTGGAGGCATCGGGGCTGGATCAGATGCCGGATGTCTTGACTCCCGGGTTGACAGACTGCAATGCTGGGCACACTGGGGAAGGGGTGCCCTACACTGTTTCAGCTGGAAGTGACAGAATTCCATACCATGTTGACATAGGGAAAAAAGCACCGATAGGCTCACACAGCTCTAACCCCAAGGGTTAACATGCTTCAGGTACAGATGGATCCAGGTGCATAGGCGATGTTGGAGAGACTTTTCTCCAGCTCTTGGCTCTGCCTTCTTCCATCTTGACTTCCCTTCCGTCTGCTCAGTGTCCCTAGCAAAGGCAGGTCCCAGGCTGGCGCTCATTTAGCTGCTGTGAGCCACATGCCCATCCCTGGGCCATTTGTAGCAGCCCAGTAGCTGCCACCTTGCCTTAGGTCAGGCCTGGAGTGGGAATCGGACTCTGGCGATCATGGAGGGAGGGAAGCAAGCACTGCCGGGCAGGAGCAGCAGCTGCCATAGAGAGGCTCTCGGCCCAACCCCCTGCCCTGTGGTCCCTGGCGGGAAGGTCACTGTGTGTGTTTCTGTGCCCACCTGCCCCAGCACGCGGGAGGTCAGGGAGGAAGAGGCTGTGAGGCACCGATAGAGCGAGGGACATGTGGTCTGTCAGTCCCAGTGGGTCAGGGAGGCCCTGGAGTGAGTTTTCTGCGGAGATACTAGAATGGGGCTTACTAGAAACGTGAGCATGAGCTGCTGGGACAGACATGGCCCAGCCGGTCTGTTGCTCCCTGCACGACCTCCCAGAGCCTTTGCTGAAGCTCCCGAGCAAGGTCTGTCTCTCGGTAGGACACTGCAGACCTCTGAACCCCCTTCCCACTGATCACTTAGACCTGTGCTTCCTGGGCTGACCTGCCCGGGCACCACCCGAAGTGTGTCCTGTGTGGCCCTCCAGCCCGCAGCTCCCCCTGGGGTTCTGTCCAGGCCCACTCTACAGACACAAGTCTGTTGCAGGGGTCTCCCCAGATTGCCTTCTTTCTTGGGGGCTTCCCACTGCTTTGAGGCTGAAAACCAAAACCCTTCAGGGCCACCCCCACCTTTTGCTCTTCAGTCTCTCCAGGGGCTTCTCCCATCCTTGGGCGGGCCAGAGCTTCCAGAGGGTCAGCCCCTGTCTGTGTCGTGTCCCTGACTCCCGCAGGAGACAGCCTGAGTCCCATCCATCCCAATGCCCTATGGCTACTCCATAAGGCAGGACTTGGATCAGTTCAACCACAGCTGTGCCCTCTGTCTGTGATGTGGTCATGGCCACAGAGACAGATAATCCATTGAGAGTGGCGGAGGGGCAGGAGCTCAAGGAGTCTCCTGAAACTGCATCTCCCACCGGTGGGTTGGCGTCTGGGAGTTGGGTGGCCCCTCTCCTGCTCCTCCTCCACCCTGGGGTGCTAGAAGCACATCTGGAGCCTGAGAGAGGGCAGACTGCAGGCTGATGGCCAGGCTCCTGTGGGCTTCCACACTGTGCCTGGGCACGTGTAGGCCGGTGTCAGGAAGTGGCCAGTTTTTATTTCATCACCAAAATGACTTCAGTGTTCCAAGGGCACCTCCATCTGAACTCCCAGCAGCCCAGGGAGTGTTGACGATGCCTTAATGCCCACAACGCTGAGGGCATGTCACCCAGGAGCTCTGTGCTGGCTCCTTGACTTGGGTTTTCTGGGGCATGGGGACACTGATCCCGCCAGAAGCGACACGAGCCCCATGCTGTTACCTGTAGAGGATTTTCTTTGTGAATCACAAAACGTTTTGAGACAGGGCTGAGGGCAGGTGCACCTGCAGTCACTGTCTGCCCACACGCAGGTCCTTTGTGTTTTGGGCGGCGGTGTTGCCAGCATTGGCCACTGTGTCTCTAGTCCCCATGGAATGGCACAAGGCAGAATAGGGGAGAGTCCAGGGCTGTGGTGGCGGCGGCCGTGCTGACCCTGTGGCATGGCTGTGAGTCAGGTGCCAGGCTCTGCACTCCAGGCCCGCCCCCTCTGGTTCTCCCACCAAGGCCTGTTTTAATCTCTGAGATGGGTGGAGAGGCGTTGGGTGGTAAAACTGGACATCTGGGTACTCACCAGCGGCCCACAGGCCTGTGTGGAGAGTGCAGAGCCAGGGATCTAGGGACGCTGGCAGGCACCGATTCTGTTTCGGCATCAGAAGCAGGTTTTCCCTGGCACCCCCTCCCCACCCCTGAGGTCACCCCACTGACCCTGTTCTCCTCTGTGCCTGTCAGGAACCACGAAGGCAGAGGACCGAGGCATGCTGCTGAAAACCTTCAACGAGCCTGGCTCCGAGTACTTCATCTTCCTGCTCAGCACCCGAGCTGGGGGGCTCGGCCTGAATCTCCAGTCGGCTGACACTGTGATCATTTTCGACAGCGACTGGAATCCTCACCAGGTAAAAGCGAGCTGAGCACAGGTTGGGGAGAAAGAAGGGGTGCCTGCGAAACCTCAACACCGACCCTCACTTGTTCTAGCCTCCAGTAGCTGGGAAGAGCCACACCCAAATCTCCATAGGTCATCTGGACAGCAGAGAAGGGGCCCTGTTTCCCAAAATACAAACAGCCTTTCCCTCTGATTGGGAACGCAGTGTAGAAGCCACCTACCATTTTGGTTTTTCTTAAATCTTGGAATGGCCCCAATGAGAAGTAGGTGGAAGGTACCCTAATCAATCCCGTGCCATCACTGTGGGCCGCCTCCACGGGCATGCTGTGTGCGTGGACACGCTGGCACTTGTTCAGACAGAATTGGGGGTGAACTCCATGCCCCTTGTTCACTTCCTCCTCTTGTTCCATAACTATGTACTTCCCATGGACCTTGGTGTCGGTGGATACCAGGTCATGCTGTTACATAGCTACAGGGATTTCAAAATGCACAAAACTTTTCTCTGTGTTTCATTATAAGGCTAATACATTCTTTTTTTTTTTTGAGACGGAGTTTCGATCTTGTTACCCAGGTTGGAGTACGATGGCGCGATCTCGGCTCACCACGACCTCCGCCTCCTGGGTTCAGGCAATTCTTCTGCCTGAGCCTCCTGAGTAGCTGGGATTACAGGCACGCGCCACCATGCCCAGCTAATGTTTTGTATTTTTAGTAGAGACGGAGTTTCACCATGTTGACCAGGATGGCCTCGGCCTTCCAAAGTGCTGGGATTACAGGCTTGAGCCACTGCGCCCGGGCAATACATTCTTGTTATTTTTAATATACAAACACTAGTGACACACGGTCAGGAGTCCCTTTTCCCTTCCTCTCCAACCCTGCTCTCTCCCGAGTCTCTGCCAGCCCTCTGCCTTCGTGAACGTGTGTACTGAGATTAACAGAGGCGGCGTGGCCTGGCAGGTGCTTCTTCCACTGAGCAGTGGGTGTCAACTGCCAGGTGCACATCGCAAGCTGCCTGGTCATCTAATCGGCCACCAGGCGTCCCAGCAGATGGCTGCCCCAGGACATCTTGTGCCAATACCCTAAGGTCTGCTCAGCCTTCAGACATGGGGTCGCTCCACCCCCAGCATTGTCCCTTTCATGTGCTGGTTGCTTCTACCAAAGCAGTTTCACCCCCACCACTGGGGTGTGAACATTTCCTGCCCTTCCCCGCAGCTTGGGGGTGCCAGCATTCTCTGTGGCTAAATTGTCACTCGTCTGATGGGTGAATGCCCTGGTGGTCACTGGTGCCCCCTCCTGTGATCAGGCTGGGGTGTAGTTTCTGCCCAGACCCTGGTGACTGGTCAGTTTCCTGAGAGGTGGTGGGTTGTGTCTCCCTGTTGGCAGGCCAGCAGTGGGCGGAGGCAGCACCCCAGGGCCAGGGGCACATTGGGGAAGGCTGGTCCTGCCGGGAAGCGTGCTGACAGGGCAGGAGGCCTGAGCAGCAGACACAAGGCACTCCTGGACCCCACCAGCTGTGGCCTCTGCCACAACATGGGTGCCAGTCTTGAGTTTAGGAGTATCACTGGTGCGTAACCTGTCCCTGCGGCTCCTGGGCACAGAGACGGGATTTCATGGGAGCTTCCTTGCTGTGTGCTGGGGTGATGATAAAACTAACAGCCCAGGCCGGGTGCAATGGCTCACACGGCGAAACCTCGTCTCTACTAAAAATAGAAAAATTAGCCAGGCATGGTGGTGTGCGCCTGTAGTCCCAGCTACTCAGGAAGCTGAGGCAGGAGAATTGCTTGAACTTCGAGAGACAGAGGTTGCAATGAGCTGAGATCATGCCACTGCACTTCAGCTGTCCCCTCAAAAAATCCGAGAAAACTAACAGCCCAGCCACGGCACCCACGTTGTTGGGACCTGACTGCACTAGTCACTGGGCCATGCTCCAGGTGTTTATTCACTCATACAGGCCACACAGTAGCCACGGGGTGGGCCCAATGTCAGTAGAGGGAGTTTTGAGGCTCACAAAGGTGAGACCTTGTTCCGGTTTTGTGTGCACAGTAAGAGAATGGCAGGGCCCACAGCCAAAACAGGCACCATCAGAGCGCAGCTGGGCTTCGACCCCATCCTGTAAACGGTGCTCAGCTGTGCAAGGCCATGCTGGGGAGCTATGCAGCTGCCACAGGAGCTGCTTGAGAATATAACCCCCTGGGGGTTGGTGATTTCCTGAGTATCTGTCAGGTCCCAGTAAGGTAGAAGGTGGCACTTCTGGAGGAACGTGATGCGAGCCCCCTTCCCCCCAGGGACACATGGCGACCCAGGCTCCCAGCTCGTGTGGCTGCAGGTCGGGCTGGACAGAATTGCTAGGCCAAGGGTGGCATTCACACCACACCTCTCCAGCTCGTGTCGGAGGCCGCCTTCTCCCTTCTGAGCTCTTTTGGGACTGACTGGCACCTCTTCCTCCAGGACCTGCAAGCGCAGGACCGAGCCCACCGCATCGGGCAGCAAAACGAGGTGCGCGTACTCCGCCTCTGCACAGTCAACAGTGTGGAGGAAAAGATCCTGGCCGCGGCCAAGTACAAGCTCAATGTGGACCAGAAGGTGATCCAGGCCGGCATGTTCGACCAGAAGTCCTCCAGCCACGAGCGGCGCGCCTTCCTGCAGGCCATCCTGGAGCACGAGGAGCAGGACGAGGTGAGCCCAGCGCCAGCCCCGACCCCCCCCAGCGTGAGTGGTGGACGCATGAGCGGCTTTCATTTTTTTTTTTTTTTTTTTTTTAAAGTCTTATTTTTTTTGCATCCCTTTGGAGTAAAGGGAGTGTGGGCTGAACGGAAAGAGGATGAGTACTTGCTTTTTCTTTGAAGTGGTTTTTTTTCTAAACTGCTGGTGAAAGATGCCGGATTGACAGCCCTGGAGACTGAAGTCCTCTATTTATCCACAGAGTAGACACTGCAGCACGGGCAGCGGCAGTGCCAGCTTCGCCCACACTGCCCCTCCGCCAGCGGGCGTCAACCCCGACTTGGAGGAGCCACCTCTAAAGGTGAGAGGGGTAGTTCAGTCTCCATGCCCATTCAATCCTCGGCTTCTCGACTGAGACGGCCAGCAAGGGCCCTGGTCCCACGGAGCGTGCGTGTGCGTGTGCGTGTGTATGCCTCTCGCTGCCGTGTGGGTCCCCATCCACCGCAGCCACGCCGGGACCACCAGCTCATTCCCACGGACGCCGCCGCTCACTGCTGAGCTCGGCTGCCGCCCACCCCGGCCCCTCCGCAGCAGCACTGACAGTTTGCAATCTTGTAGGAGGAAGATGAGGTGCCCGATGATGAGACTGTCAACCAGATGATCGCCCGGCACGAGGAGGAGTTTGACCTGTTCATGGTAAGCACCGCAGGCTGCACAGTGCAGTTCAGGCATCCCGCTCTGCTGCCGCCAGGAGCAAAGCAGAGGCCTTAGTGCCCGTGCCCATGGTGGTGTCCCCAGCAGGTCAGGGAGCCAGGGATAGCTCTGCTCACAGTGTAGCCCACTCATGTCTCCAGATTGGGTGACCCGCCTTCCACCCCAGCCTTGGATGGCGAGATGTATACCCAGCCATTCTGCGTGTCGCCCTAGTCCTGCCCGGCCAGCTATGCTTTCTAACCGGCTCTTTAGGGCTTCATGCACTCCCTTTCAGAGGGAGTTTGCCTGTCCAAGGCCAAGGACTGACCACGGCTTCAGTCGAAGAGCCCCCTTGCCCCTGGGTGGGAAACAGGAAGCCACTAGAGCAGGACCTCTAGGCCCACAGGCCTTATGCCTCCAGCGCCGCCGTGCCGTGCAGCTGCCGCCCCTCTGCTGGGTCTCGGGTTCATCTTATGCAGCCTTCCATCCTTTCGAGTCTCCGCTGCCTTTCAAGGCAAAGCCCCTAGTTAGGGTCTGATGTAGCCAGGTGAGGTCAGCCACCAAAAAAATCAAGAGCTGACATTTAACTCCCACAGCAGCATGGGTCCCCACAGACAGAGAAAGCCCCTCCTGAGTCCCTAGCATCCTGGGTCGAGCGTGCCCCTGGCGCCCACATGCTGATGCCTCTCCCTCTGCCTGCCTGCCTGCCCACCAGCGCATGGACCTGGATCGCAGACGTGAGGAGGCCCGCAACCCCAAGCGGAAGCCGCGCCTCATGGAGGAGGACGAGCTCCCCTCATGGATCATCAAGGACGACGCAGAGGTGGAGCGGCTGACCTGTGAGGAGGAGGAGGAGAAGATGTTCGGCCGTGGCTCCCGCCACCGCAAGGAGGTGGACTACAGCGACTCACTGACGGAGAAGCAGTGGCTCAAGGTACATGCCGGAGAGGCCCGGCAGCCCCCACAGGCCGGCGCCAGGCAGGGCTGGAGAGACAGGGGGCCCACGGCCAGGACTTGGGCCTGGGTCCAAAACGCTTCCCTAGGGCCACTCCTGGTCAGGCTCTGTGAACAGCCCAGAGCTTTCCGACGTGGCCTGGGGATGGTCAGGTCCTCCCAGCTCTGCCTCAGAATGCAGGAAGGGCCCACGGTCCCTGTGCAGCTTGACCTGTTGCTGGGTGTGGTTGGTCTTTGAGGTAGAGGGTTTACCTCTTCCCGAGGGTAGAAATGACGTCGCTGATCTCTGTGGATTCCCAGTACCTGCGAGAAGGAGGCACAAGGGTGAATCGTGGACTATTAAGGTGTCCTGCAGGGTAGCCTCAGTCTGGGCAAGTCCCCCTGCACGAGCTGGGGAGACTCGGTCATGGAGAGGAAGGAGGGGGCAAGCCCTCGAGGGCCTCTGAACCCCAGGCGCTGCCTGGGGCTGGCAGCTGCTTGTGGAGCTGGCGTGAGGCTTGTTCTCAGCAGATGGCACCTGGCCCTGCTACAGCAGCTGCAGATGTCTGAGTCAGTTGTGTGGTGCTCCTGGGGCCTCCCCCCCACTCTTCCCAGCCCCAGGGCACACTGTGACAGGTGCCTGGCACTGACATCCTCACTGGGGTTACAGTGACAAATCAGACCCCTTCCCAGCCCAGAGGCTGTGAGTTCTGTTACAGAGATGATGATTCAGAATCCATCCCTGAAGTTGTATCATTAAAATGTCCCTGAAACAAAAATTCCGAGAAGGCAGGTGGCAGCTTTTGGCCATGCAGCACAAAATGCCACACCCAGGAATGAGCCATGTGGCCCAGCCCATGTGGCCAAGCAGACCTGGCCCCCTCCTCCTACCTCGGAGCAGCCCAGACTCATGAGCTTGCCTGCCAAGCTGTGCACCAGAGGGCGCTGTTGAAACACACCAGGCGCCCAGGTGAGAAGAGAAACCCTGAGGAGGGAGTGTGGGCCACGAAGACCTGTGTGGCAGCAGAGCTGTTTAGCTGCCATATGAGTGTCACCAGCCCTGCATTTTTTTTTTTAATAGAGACAAAGTCTTGCTGTGTTACCCAGGCTGGCCTCCAGTTCCTGGGGGCCTCAAGTGATCCTGACACCTCAGCCTCCTGAGTAGCTGGGACTGCAGGCATCCACCACCATGCCTGGCTCATTTAAATTTTTTTGTAAAGACAGGGTCTCACTGTGTCGCCTAGGCTGGTCTGAAACTCCCGAGCTCAAGCAGTCTGCCTGCCTCAGCCTCCAGAGTAGCTGGGAATATAGGCATGAGCCACTGCATCTGGCTCAGCCATGCACCTGTGAGGCAGTGAGTGCCTTTTAAATTTAAGATCAGTTCATATGTGGATATTCTATGTAAATTTTTTTCTAGGTGTAATTTACATACCATACAGTTCACCCTTTTAAGGTGCATGATACGGTCATCTTTAGTGTATCCAAGAGTTGTGCATCTGTCACTACAGTCAATTTTAGAACATTTTCATCCCCCCAAAAGAAGCCCTGCCCCGATTTGTCATTTCCTGTTAATTCATGGATTCTCCCTAGCCCCAGGCAAACGCTGATGCTCTTTCTGGCCCTATGGTTTTGCTTGTTCTGGGCATTTCCCATCAGTGGAGTCCTAGAGTGTGGGGTTCTTTGGTGTCAGACTTTTTTCTCAAAATGTAACATACTTACCCGTGATGCAGCAGGTGGCGGTGCATCATTCTTTGATGGTGGAATAATCCTGCCTCGTACAGATATGTCACATTTTGGTTTTCTGTCCATTCTTGTTGGCCACTTGGGTTGTTTCAGCTTTCAGACTATTACAAATAATACTACAGGGAACATTCACTTACAGGCTTTTGTGTGCACATGTTCTAATTTCTCTTGAATATATGCCTAGACATAGAGTTGCTGGAGCACTGTTAATTCTCTGTTTAACCTTTGGAAGGACCCCCAGACTGGTTTCCTGGGTGGCTGTGCCAGTTCACAGTCCCCTCAGCTGTGTACGAGGTTTGCTGTTTCTCTACATCCTCAGCAGCCCTTGCTGCCATCCCAGCAGGTAGGAAGTGTCAGCTTAGTGTGGCTTCCATTTGCTTTTCCCTGATGGCGAACAGCGTGGAATATCTTTCCATGTGCTTATTGGCCATTTGTATACCTTCTGTAAAGAGATGTCTGTTCACATCTTTACCCAAATTTAAAATACATTTATCTTAATACCAAATTTTAAGTTATTTACAAGTGCCTTATAGATATCATTTGTAAATATTTTGTTTCATTCTGCATGTTCTCTTTTCACTTCCTTGATATCCATTGAAGCAGGAAGTTTTTCTTTTTTTTGAGATGGAGTTTCGCACTTGTTACCCAGGCTAGAGTGCAATGGCGCAATCTCAGCTCACCGCAACGTCCGCCTCCTGGGTTCAGGCAATTCTCCTGCCTCAGCCTCCTGAGTAGCTGGGACTACAGGCACGCGCCACCATGCCCAGCTAATTTTTTGTAGTTTTAGTAGAGACGGGGTTTCACCATGTTGACCAGGATGGTCTTGATCTCTTGACCTCGTGATCCACCCGCCTTGGCCTCCCAAAGTGCTGGGATTATAGGCTTGAGCCACCACGCCCGGCCTGAAGCAGGAATTTTTTCATTGTACTTACAGTTTATTTATTTTTCTTTTTCACTTGTGCCTTGGTGTTGTATTTAAGAAACCACTGCCATATCCAAGGTCACGAGGACTTGCCCCTGTGTTTTCTTCTAGGAGGGTTATAGATTGAGCTCTTCCATCTAGATCCATGTAAGATCCATTTTGGGTTGAATTTTATACATGATGTGAGATCAGCGTCCAACTTTATCTTTTTGTATGTGGAAATCCAGTTGTCCCAGCAGCATTTGTTGAAGAGACTATTTTTTCTCATTAAGCCCATCTTATTCCATGTTATATTCAAATTCATAGTTGTGAAAAATATTATATAAAACAGGCTTTCCCCACCATGTCATTGGCACCACTTTGCTGGCAGCCAGTCTGTGGCCAAGTGAACTCAAAGCCTTCAAAATTCTCTTGGCCCTTGCCCTGCTGGGCTGACCCTGTATATTCATTCCCTGTGGCTGCCGTCGGAAATGGCCATGACAGTGGCAGCCTAAAGCAACAATCCTTCCATTCTCAATCTATGGTGTCTAATCCATGGTGTGAGCAGGGCTGTGCTCCCTTCCAGGGCCTAGGGAAGGACCCCTCCTTGGCTTTTCCAGCTCCTGATGGCTCCAGAATCCTCCTGGCTTGGTGCACCGTCATCCCGTCTCTGCCTCTGTCTGCATGGGGACTTCTCGAGAACTCTGTGTCCCCTTCTGTCTCTTTTAAGAACATTTTTTAAAACTTAATCCCTGCCAGGCATGGTGGCTTACACCTGTTATCCCAGCACTTTGGGAAGCCGAGGTGGGTGGATCACAAGATCAGGGGTTCGAGACCAGCCTGACCAACATGATGAAACCCTGTCTCCACAAAAATACAAAAATTACCTGGAAGTGGTGGCAGGCACCTGTAATCCCAGCTACTCAGGAGGCTGAGGCAAGAGAATAGCTTGAACCTGGGAGTTGGAGGTTGCAGTGAGCCGAGATCATGCCATTGCACTCCAACTGAAACTGTCTCAAAAAAAAAAAAAAAAAAAACTTAATCCTATCCTAAATGTAAAAACCTCATTTGCCAAAAAGGTCCCATTCCAAGGTTCCAGATAGACATGAATTTGGGGGGACCTACCACTCCTCCCTGGGTCTGCAGAGGGCCTTCTCCCAGTGCCTCCTGCCTGCTGCATCTTCTGGCCCGGATGCCTTAACCTCCTGCCAGCCCCCTGAGGCTCTCAGCTTCCCATCTCCTCTAAGCCATACCTGCTTTACCATTCTGGAATCTCTCTTCCCTCTTTCCTGGCACCTGACACATTTGCCACCCCGCTTGTGGGATATTGCCATCTGATCGCCATCTCCCTTCCAGGGGTGGGGGAAAGGGCCAGGAGCAAGGGTTCGAGTCACTGCTATGTGCCCAGAGCCAGGCACAGTGACCAGCCCACTGGCACAGCCACAGCGTGAGAGAGCAGCCAGCTTTTGGGTCCAGGCCCTCCTTACTTTTCCAATCCCAAGATTCCTTGGACACCTGGCTCCCATGACTGCATTTTTTACCATTGGGATAAGTTATTAGTTATTGCCATTGAAAATTAATACATAGGGATTCTCTTAATATTGTTCACATTCATGTCCTTCTCAGCAATGTTACCATAAGGAATCCGTCTTAAACAATGTCAGTTGTTGGCCGGGTGCGGTGGCTCATGCTTGTAATCCCAGCACTTTGGGAGGCCAAGGTGGGCGGATCATGAGGTCAGGAGATTGAGACCATCCTG